TGCACCGGGCCTCTAGTCCTATATAATAAAAGGGTAATATGCAAATTGACCTTAACAACAGAATGACCAGGAACAATTGGTTGCTATAATGCGCACTGACCACCAGGAGGCAGACGCTCAACACAGGAGCTGCCTCTTGGTGGTCAGTGCGTTTCCACAGGGGGAGCACCGCTCAGCCAGAAGCCGGCTCATGGCTGGCCAACACAGCGGTGGTAGCAGGAGCCTCTCCCACTTCCGCAACAGCACTAAGGACATCCGACTGCCAGCGTAGGCCCGCCTAAGCCAGCAGGTGGACATCCCCTGAGGGGTCCCAGACTGCGAAAGGGTGCAGGCCTCTAGTAAAAAAAACATAAGGTCCTAAGAAATTGGGGGAGAATATTTACTTTTGCTGACCAACAATGGCTTATGGATCCCAGGGCCTAAACTTGCTTCTTTCTGACATCGTGAAGTTACATACTCTTCAAAAAAAAAAAAATCTAGAGAAGCATGAAATAAAATTTAAAATGTAAACCAGAAACACTCAAATTTTAGCTGTTGTCTTCAGAAAGAGATGGGAAGAACACAAAGCTTAGATAAAAATGGTAGCTGGCATAATCTGAAAGAAGGAAGCGGTAATGTTTTCTGAGTGTGCAATAAAACACAAAAACTATTTTCCAGTTACTAAGGAAATCTTAAATTTCACCAGCAAATTCTTATCTCAATCAGACTTACTTTCCCACAGTCCAACTAATATGCATTACTCATTGGACTCTGTATATGAAATGTGTGTAACATCTGCTTATACGGGCATAAGGAAATAAAGCTCAGAGTCTATCAAAAAACAGAAGCAGTGTCGTATGTCAGACTATGAGACATGTCTGTTTTAGAGGCAAGATCCCAGAGTGGAGATGTAAGCAGTGATTATGGTTATTTATTTGATTTAAAAAAGGAGCAGTAGGACACTAAATACTAAAAGAAATAAAAAATAAAAAATAAATCGTCTACTGCTACTAAATCTAGAACATCTTGTGTGTCTTCACATATCTTCAGAGGTGTGTCCTTGCAACACAGCAGAAAGCTGGGAGATTAATCTGAATCCTGTTCTTTATCTGTTTCTTAAAAGTCTAACAAAAAGAATCAAACTTTGTTTGGAAATGCTCACAAACCAGCATTTAAAGGGTAGAAAAATACATTAGTCTTGGAGAAACCTTAGTGTTTGAGTTAGCAATAGTTAATGGCATGGGCTCCTGCATAGTTCTGTCCTGACTTTAAACCTCTAGGCACATGAGTCTGGTGTTTCCATGTCCTCTTTTGCAAAACAGGGTAAGGGACCTGCCCACCTATGACTGTTCTAAATAAATCAATAAATAAATGAGACTACAGATGTGCAATGTCTAGCATGATGCTGGCCACAATGAATGTTAACTCGCATTCAGAAGTCTACAAAAAAGACATAAAGCAGCACCGTAAGCAGAAACAGTAATAATGAATCAAAAAATAAGACATCCACAGGGCAAAAGTTGCACTCAACAAAGTTGTTCTCTTTAGGCTTAATAATACAAACCTACTCTTAAATAACGTGATTGCTAGCAGTGGCAGCATCCATCTGGGCCTGTGAGGGAGGAGGTCTGTTGTACGCTGCATTGTCCAGCTTCTAACTCAAGAGACTGCTGTCGGCACCTTCCAATTTTCCAAATTCTGTACTTTCATCTCTTCTACCCCCTCTTTTTTCTCATTTATTTACTCTTTATCTTTCTTCCCTTCTCTATGACTGGAACATGCCAATGAGAGCTGTTTGGACCTTGACAATCGTCCTTTCCTGTTTTAACCAACACTCTAATGACTATACAGAGAGACATGTGGTAGGACTGAGCAATGATGCCCCCACAAGAGGTGTGTTAGAGTTGATTGCATAAGTAAAGAGATCTAACAAGCAAAAAAATGGAAGTCTGGGGCCTGCATACCAAGACCACCACTTATTAATGACACGCCCTATCTAAGTGTTACATTTCACAAGCCTCGGCCTTTTCATCTGTAAAATGGGGATAAGAAGTACCAACTTCAAAAGGTTATTGTAAGAATCCTACCCTATATAATAAAACCCTAATATGCGAATCGACCGAACGGCGGAACGCTATGACGTGCACTGACCACCAGGGGGTAGACGCTCAATGCAGGAGCTGCCCCTGGTAGTCAGTGTGCTCCCATGGGGCTCTCATCGTCCAGCACCACTCAGCCAGAAGCGGGGCTCACAGCTGGCGAGAGCCTCTCCTGCCTCCACTGCAGGCAGGTGGTAAGGAGTGAGGGGTCCCGGACTATGAGAGCCCCGGACTGTGAGAGGGATGTCTGACTGTGGGTCTAAGCTGGCAGGCAGACATCCCCCAAGGGGTCCCGGACTGCGAGAGGGTGCAGGCTGGGCTGAGGAAACACATACACACACACACACACACACACACACACACACACACACTGTGAGCACGCACACTGCACAAATTTCATGCACCGGGCCTCTAGTATACTGAATAACATATGTGAGAACCCTTTATAACTAGTTTATTGGGGAAATAAAAACCAATTCCTGACCAGTGACTTTTATCAACTGTTATCTGTGTTGATTAATTCTTGTTCAAAAACATAAAGGCTAATGGACAAAGTCAAGTCAAAAAGACAAAATATTGTTAGCAGCTCAAATTCTAATCATCCTGAATAAGCCCATGATAGGTACTAAAACTCCTTATTCTTCATTCCATTTTGGGCAACCTACATGTAAGTGGGCACTTTCCTTAGATACAAACTGGAGTGCCTTAGTCAACAAGCTGAAATCTGGGGAGACCAAAGTGGAAGAGCATTAGCCTCTCGTGAGAAAAGCAGGAGAGCTTCAAGTTTTAAATTCAACTGACAGGTAGCAAAGCAGTTAACAACTGGCAAGGGGGACGTTGAGAATGAACAGTGCCTACTGAGGGCGTGTTTTATCTCAGCTGGGTGTGGTGCCCTTTTTTCTCACTGCCATCTGTGCCCCTGTGACTGTGCTGCTCAGTTGCTCTGGGTCTTGGCCATTACCATAAACTGTTTCTAGTTTCAAAAGAATCAGTAAATACTGATCGTCATGGCAACAGTGTGACCTCTCTGAACATCTTCCTATTTCTTCATTTCCTTTTTGCCCCATAGCTGGAGAGGCCTGCTCCTTCCTCCCCAGGCTGTGTGCACCCTCCTTCTTCATGTCACTGAGTTTTTTATTTCCATCTGCTCTGATCTACACTGCCCCTCCCTGCTAAGCCTCACAGAGAGGCAGTGAGCTCATTAGTCCGAGCCCCACTTCTGTAACAGCAGCTAAGACAGAGGGAAGAACATGCTTCTGATCCCACTGCCAGGTCGTGAAGCCCAAGAAAGAGGACCCTGACACTTCCAACACCTGCTTTCCTTCAGCTCCACTTCTCTCCTTATTAAGTTCTGCCTAAGGTCAGACATTAGGTGATTCTCGTCTATTATCAGAAAAAAGACATCAATTCTGCAGCCACTGATTACCTGCATTTGGCAAACACATAACTGGCCAAAAGGCAAAAAGAACTGGAGTGTGCTGCACCAAGAATAGTCACAGTTCGAGAGGAACATGGCTATATTCTACATGACTCCCTCAACCAAGTTAAAATATCGACTAAACTGCTTTGTAAATACCCCCAAGACAGAATAACTCTGAAGAAATCCAACTTCAAACAAAAGATCCCATCTGTGGCAGAGAGATTCTAGATGCCTCCTGGTACTCACACCCTGGGGATCACTCCTCTGAAGTGCGGGTGGACCTGTGGCTGGTGTCTAGCCAATGGGACGTGGCGACAGAGACTGGACGCCACTTTTGTGAATTGGGAGTAAGGTTCTAATGTCCATCTGCTAAGAGAGTTGCTATGCATGCTCTCCTCACTGGTTCTGATGAACAAGCTGCCATGTTGTGAGCCCCCGTGGGGAGAACCCCATGTGGCAAAGAACTGATGGCGGCCAGGGCGGACAGTCAGCAAGGAACTGAGCCCTCGTCCAGCTGCCCGCGAGGAACTCAAGCCTGACAACAGCCATGTGAGCTTGGACGTGGATCCATCCCTGCAGGTTTCCGGGTGAGACCTGGCTGACGCCTTGGTGGCAGCTTCATGAGAGACCCTGAAGCAGAGGCCTCAGCTAGCTGTGCCTTCATTCCTGGCCCACAGAACTGGGAGACAGTAAAGGTTTTGTTTTAAGCTGCTACATTTGTAGTCATTTGTTACACAGCAATAGATAACTAATACACCATCCAACCCAAGATGGTAAACACTTAAATTTTTACAATAGAATATTACTCAGCAATAAAAAAGAATGAAATGTTGTCATTTGCAACAACATGGGTGGACCCAGAAAGTATTATGATAAGTGGAATAGTCAGAGAAAGACAAATACCGAACGATTTCACTTATATGTGGAATCTAAAAAACAAAGCCAATAACAAATGAATAAATTAAACAAAACAGCTTATAGAAATAAGCTGATGTTTGCCAAAGGGGAGAGTGTTGAGGGGATGGATGAAATTAAAACAAAAAGTTTAAATAATAAGAACAAATACATTTTCCCCTATTAAAATACAGACAATTTTTCATGTTGGGAATTTGCTAGTTTAAAAAGATGATAATTTATTTATAAGACATTATTTCCTCTCCCAGGTCTCTCCTTTTAACATCATACCTTAGTTCCATTGCGTTAAGATTTCATCAGAAGCCTGAAACTTTTCTTCCCTTTTACTTAACAAACCATAAGTACTCAAAATTTCAAAACTTACGTCGAGTTTAATCCCATCCAACCAAAAACTGAACAACTTAGATTTAAAATACAAATTGGTATTTCTAAGTGAACTTCCTTATTTTTCCTCACCCCTGAATTCTATGCAGACCTTTTAGCTACCTATTCATATCTTCAGACACATAAGCCAGTTTTTTAGACTCCTGCAAATAATTCTTTTCTACATTGAAAGTCTTGAAAAACTGCAAATTGTTTTTACTTACATCGGGAAGTCTGTACAGCTTCATTGTTCTCTGTAAAGTCATGTTTCTACTCAAGTGAGAAAATTTCACTTCTACCAATTTTCTGGGGTTTAGTGACCGATGCCAGTATCTGGAATACAATAAAGTTTGAAAGTCAGACTGATTTCTGACTCTCCAAGTTTTTACTCTGTCTAGCTCAGCTGTGGTAGAACATTTAATGAATACTTATGTTATGCCTGGCACAATGCTGGATGCGGTCCCTCTTCCAATGCAATTATTTCTTTCTTTATTTTACCAGTCATTTTTTACCTCTAAAACGTGCCCTGCATCCCTAGTTATGTCCCTCTGTAGTTTGTGATCTTTCATCTCTTTCAGTATAGAGGTATCTTAAAATTGTAAAAGTCTTATTAATAATGACCAGTTTGCATGTATTTCATAACCATCCCTGATTCTATAGAAAGCAACCCAAAAGTTTAAAAACTTGAAAATATTCCCCCTAAATTAGTACAGCCTTCATATTTATCTAACAAACAACCAATAAAACAACTTTTTTTTTCTTTTTTTAAAAGTTGGTTTCAGAGAGAGAGGAAGAGAGAGAGGGAGAGAGAGAGAGAGAAACATTGATCAGTTGTCTCCCATACACACCCTGATGGGGGACCAAACCCGCAACCAGGGCATGTGCTCCAACTGGGAATCAAACTGGCAACCTTTAGCGCACAGGCCAACACCCAACTAATTGAGCCACACCAACCAGGGGAAGAAAACAACTTTTTGAGAAATGAGCTTAGATTTCTTAAGTGATCCCAGTTTAGGTACTGGGCTAAATGATTTGTATTAACATGTACCTATAAGTACCAAGCGCTACCCAATTGCGCCACAAGAGCTCCAATATGCACCTGTAAAGTCTTATTTATCCTGTTTATTTATGAATAATTTCATAGGACATAGTAATTTTATGTTTTAATTTTTTAATACTATATTTACCTGAAGTTTCATTTTATTTGAATAAATGAAAATAGTGGAGAAAGAGAAACTGATTCTTCAGAAACAGGTTAGTCAAGTGACAACCTGACACTCAATTTTCTCCCTGGATTAACCTCTGGAAGCTTGGTAAGAGCAGACTGAGTCATAAAATCAGAGCTTATACCTTTTCTTATTTTTAGCAAACAAGAATGTCTAGGCTTTTTTACCAGACATTTGGAACAGCACTGCAGAGCACGTATAAGACTGAGTGTTAGAGGAGAAAAGGAAATGGTACCACCCTGGATATTTCCACATCACGATACCCAGGGTTTCTCTATGTGTTTTTCCTGTAATGTATACCATTAGGGCATAACTGGGTCACCCACATGCAGAATCAGATAAGATGTTGCTCTGGATATAACACAATCCCCAGGACCCCTGAGAGGTGCCTCGACCAGACCAGACCTTCCAGTCTTTCAAATGGAAGAGACACTGAAATACAGCTCCAGATCGTTGGCATACAAGTGGCTGTACGGTAACTGGAAAGAAGACTGGATTCAGTGGTTCTTGCTTCTAGTCTCCATCTCTGCTATCAACCAACTACATAATCACAGGTCAGCCAAAATCCCTCTGAGCTACACAACTCACAAGTGAGAATAACACTTCCAGCAACAGGGTAGAAAGGCTCCATGTTTAGGTACAGGAAAGATGCAAGGTAAGGGTGTTGCTATTACCTGCATGTGGCCACTGGCTTTGGAAGAACCACGCCAGCAGTATAAACGGCCTGGAAAATCCCTTCCAGGTTCACTCTTCTAGTTATTTCTCGAATTAACACTGGGGCTACCCGTTTTGATCTCAATTTTTTATGAACACAAAGAAAGTTGATTTCCACCATCTTCTTCACACTACGAAATAAAGAAAATCAGAGCAAACATAAGATGAACGTGTTTTTTAAAATAAGACAACACCCATAAAATTTCAAAGAATAAAAACGGAAAGACCTTATATCTAATATTAAAGAAATATATTCTTTCCTCGAGACCAGTGGTCGGCAAACTCATTAGTCAACAGAGCCAAATATCAACAGTACAATGATTGAAATTTCTTTTGAGAGCCAAATTTTTTAAACTTAAACTATATAGGTAGGTACATTGTTATTAACTTAATTAGGGTACTCCTAAGGTTTAGGAAGAGCCACACTCAAGGGGCCCAAGAGCCGCATGTGGCTTGTGAGCCGCAGTTTGCTGACCATGGCTCTAGACCAGCAGGGCAAACTACGGCCCGCGGCTTATTTGAAATGAATAAAACTATTGAAAAAAAAGACTGTACCCTTTTATGTAATGATGTTTACTTTGAATTTATATTAGTTCACACAAACACTCCATCCATGCTTTTGTTCCGGCCCTCTGGTCTAGTTTAAGAACCCATTGTGGCCCTCAAGTCAAAAAGTTTGCCCACCCCTGCTCTAGACATTTCACAAATTCAGACCGATTCACTATTTCCCATACACCCCTACTTTATAACTCTAGACTACAGAGATGCAAATCTCTTATTCGAAATAAATTTTAGGACTTTGTTTGAAGTTTTTTAAAAGTTTTTGGTTTAGAAACTGGACCTGAGGTGCCTCAGAGTTTCTCTATGTGTTTTTCCTGTAATGTATACAATTATGGCATCACTGGTCACCCACATGCAGAATCTGATAAGATGTTGCTCTGGATATAATGCAATCCCCAGGACCCCTGAGAGGTGCCTCGACCAGACCAGACCTGGTGCTATTCTGATCTACACTAAACCTTCTAGAGCTCCAAAGCCCATTCCCGAGTATGCAGGTATGCAAGCATTTCATTCAGCACACAGCATTCCTTGGGAGAAAATGTTTTTTAGCAGCAAACAACCCATTGTATTGAAAGGTAAAACGATCTATTATGCAATAGATCTTTGACTTTCAAGAGCTGGGTCTTTGACTTTCTAGACTGAAGACCCAGAGCAAAAATACAACACATACTTATCCTATGAAAGAGAAAGACTTTTAAAAAACCTCTCCTAAAACTTTCTAAAGTAATTTCCCCAGAAATAAATCTAAAATACCTATTTATAGCTTTATTTATTCCGCTACATTCATATACACAAGCACATGTATGTTCATATATGTACACAAACATATCTCTGTGTGGGCATGTATGAGACTGAGAAGCAGAGGAATAAAAAGAGAGTTGTCCTTTTTGTTGTTCACAAACCAATGTTTAAAAAATTAATAGACTTTATTTTTTAGAGCAGTTTTAAGTTCAAAAGTGAGCAGAATGTGCAGAGTTCCCACATACCCTCCCCCCATAACCTCCCCTCTCTCAATAGCCTGGATTAAGTCACTTTTAAAAGCCTTTTATAATTGCAATCCTTGAAAAAGCAACACATCAAAACTGACACGGGCAAACTTTCATATGTACCTGTCGTAAATCCGAATATTTGCTGGGATGGCACTTATGAACCCTACCAGTTTTTTGTTCGAAGACACTCTGACTCCACAGTGCCACTGAAGAAGCCAGCCTGGGGGACGCAGAGCCCTGAAGTTAACATAGGCAAGGAAAACAGGGGCCAGTTAGTGTCCAAGAATACAGGGACAGACAGAGACGCACCAGCCCGCCGCCCCACCACGGCCCGTGAGGCCAGCAAGACTCACCACAGCAGGAACTCGGGCGAATAGTCAAACCGGAACATGTTGTCATCGTCCTCTACGTAATTCTCATTTAACAAGGTGTACAACTCCTTGAGCTGCAAGACCAAACAGGTGTGGGTTTATGGTGCTCAGAACCCACTCAGAAGCAATCCGCATGAACTCAAGTGTTGAATTTGAGCGTTTTACTCACCACTTCTGCATTACCCAAATCTAACGTGTCCCACATAAAGCCCTGTGGCAAGGAGTACGGTTCTTGGCGCACATTGTCTTTATCTGCTTCAATTGCACCATGAGATGTTATCACTTCATCTGAAGAGGAGAGAATAGAAGACAAAAAGAGAGAATATTCAGTTACAAAACATTCTGACGATCCAAAATGGTCCGTTACATAAAATAAAACCATGTTTAGGGCCCTTGGGGTTAATATAATCATTAACATACTATTATTTCAGCTTCTTCTAGAATGAAAAAGGGTGGCTAGGTAGTGGTGGCGAATAACAGCTATTTCACCACTAAAAGGAGAAATCCTCTGTCATACAATGACAAAGTGTACAATGAAATGATGGTGATTTCTGTCTCGACCCCGAGATTACAGATTAATTATACAGCAAGCACCATGGGAGACAACAGAGGTTTGATGACCGACTTTTATTCTGCACTTCAAGTAATTGGAGGAGGGGGGGATAGGGGACGGAGTGAGGGGAGAAGGCTGCAGTGACCTCTGACCACTTCCAGCAAAATCTAAAATTAATTTCAGAACTGTTACTATCTCTCTACCTGGATTGCTGGCAGCACAGTTCAAGTCATCGATGTCTTAGCAATTTCCACAAAGGTGCCCTTTTCCCATTTCTTCCCTGCAGTTTCCCAATGTAGCTGGGATAAAACCCAGACTCCGACCATGGTACTGCCTGCCTGGCCCCCTGGGACCCCCACCCGGCCCAGCGCCCAGGCTTAGCCACACTGACTGCCCTCATGCTGGCCCCAGCTCAGAGCCCTCGCAAGGCCCTCCCATGCTCTTCACTCGGCTGGCCACTTAAATTTTTTCAGATATAAGTTTACACATAGCTTTCTCACAGCATCCTTCCCTGACTAAAGCTTTTTCCTACCTGGAGTATATCCTCCTCCCAACCCCTACCTGGCCACCACTTACCCTACTCTCATGCCCCTATTTCCCCAATCTGTACCCCGGTGCCTGGCATTTAATAACAAACACACAACAAATATCTGCTAAATATAATTCAGCCATAAAAAAAGAAGGAAATCATGCCATTTGGACAACATGGATGGACCTTGAAGGTGTTATGCTAAGTGAAAAAAGTCAGACAGAGAAAGACAAATTACCATATGATCTCACTTATATGTGGAATCTAAAAAAATAGGAAAACCAAAACAAACTCATGGATACAGCAAACAGATTGGAGGTTGTCAGAGGTAGGAGACGGAGGGTGGAGAAGTGGGTAAAGGGAGTCAAAAGGTACAAACTTTCAGTTATAAGATAAATAAGTCCTTTAATTATAGCATGGTGACTATAATTCATAATATATTACATATTTGAAAGTTTGCTAAGAGAATAAATCTTAAAAGTTCTCATTACAAAAACAATTCTGTAACTATGTGTGGTGATGGATATTAACTTTTAAGAAGAAAAGTATTACTTTTGTATAAATTTCTAACCTGTGGTATGAAACAAGTTATATAAGTGAAATAAAGTCTCTTTTGTGTTTTTTGATTGTTGTTAACCCAGCTTTGTTCTGCGGAGGGCGGGAGGAGAAAGGCAGAAAAGCTTACTTAGTTTGGGTACCGGCTGTGTGTCCCAAAACTGGTATCTGTGTTTGGCAGCCTCACCGATGTTCCTGGTGGGGCCCTGGCACGCCGACAACAGCTCCATTGCTCTCTGGATGTCCTGCAGCTTCTGCACTGGTATGGCAGGATTCTGCAACAGCAAAGACACACAGACACAGACTGTGAGGAAGCTTCCGCCACTCCAACACGGGCAGAGACACGTGCATCTGCCTTGGAGACTACAACACCGGAAAACGAGCAGTCTTCCTCTAAAGCTGGTCAGGGCCCTGGCCTCACGTATGCTAACACATTAAAATGTAAGCAATATTCTGTTAAAGATAACCACGGCTCTATAGTTTTACTGGGGCTCTGACAGTCTGGGAAATCTACAGTAAATAGAACTACCCTTCACTCTAGTTTCCCAACCATCTGCAAATGGCCTTGACCGTTACTCATCTGAGCGGAGCAGCAAAAAGGGGTGACATGCAACACATGCATTACTGTCATTCGGCAGCCAGCCAGCCACTAGCCTTGCTTTTATTGTCGGGGTTAATGCTCTGCAGTAGCAATGTGGGCACAAAGGAAATAACTTCCAGGATGGAAACTATGCAGACAAGTTCATTAAGAAGAAGAACGAACGGAATCTGAATTTAGTGCGAGCTGGGAAGAAAGTGAATCAGGAAAGGAAACCTCTAGGGATGCCTTCCTCCTGGACCACACCCCCCTCTCCTCACCCTGACACCCCGGAAACAAACCTTCCAACAAGGACCAGCAGTGTCCTCTGGGAATTCAAATCAGGGGCCACCCTAGCCTGTTCGAAACTAAACTCCTTTTTATAAGGTAAAAACCTATTTCCAGTCTATAAAGTTGACAATACCTTTAAATTCTAAAGTTCCTTCCTCAAAGCCAATATTTCTGTCATCTGAAGATTCCCCAGCTCTTTTTTTGTAAAGTCCCTCAACTAATGTCACACTGCCTGCAAAATGAAACTATTCTCGAAATTAGAGAATGAATAGTATGTAGGACTGAATATGGATATTGGGTTTGCCATATGCTTTTGATGCCATCCAAAGAATGCTAGCTCTTCACTGCAGTTCAGAAGGGGTTATAAGGAGTTTCAGAGCCCTTAGGCTGCCTGTATGCCAACACACCATGGACACCAAGGAAAGGGACCACTGACCCTCAATGGTGTGTAAACAGTAGCTCTGAACTTCTGCTCAACTTTGACCCTCATGTGTGTGGTCTGGAGCAAATCTTCTAACCTGGACGCTTACTTGTTTGGCCAGGTACAAAACGGGGTTAATTTAATACAGACTGTCCTGTGTTGCTTTGCTCACTGGATTCCCTTAAGATTTTTGCCACCAACGTGATTCAAGGAAACAAAGTGCTGGACTCTAACCAGAGGTAGGTTATAGTCTTAACATTTTCCCTTATAAGTCTAACAGCATCAGCCAGGACTGCCACGAGTTTTGTAAGTTGTTTATCTTTTATTTTGACTAAAGTCTAAATCATAAGGGACATAACTCAATTACACATATTAATTTAACAAAATACTTTTGCTGTTCTAAAAAGGCTAGTGCATGTCTTAATTTCTCATTTGCATCTCTTTGGAACCTCCAACATAAAGTAACTAGTTTCTAGCAAAGTGAAAATCTATAGTCAAATGGACCCTCAGAAGCACAGCCTGTTAGGAGACCTATGCCCCAAACAGGAACTAAGAGCACAGCACATCAGCTAATAGTGCTTGAACATGTGCCCATTTATCTTTAAAAAGGCAGAGTAGAACCCACTCTTTCAGAACAGACCTCTAGTGTCTTCCCTGAACTTGTCATAGTAGTTCTTCCTCCCTAATGCGAGTTAAATCCCCTAACACTAACGTAGCAAACTGCAACTATTTTATAAGAAATACGAGTCAGCATCTTTGTGCCAAAGGAGCCAATGCTATCCATTAAGAGGCACTGAGAGTGCTTTCTACTCGCCTAATTAGCCTCAATGGGTTGACCAGTAGTGTTTACATGAAATCGCCATTTATGAATTAATTCCATTGGGATTAATTTATATCCCAGTAGCATATGATTAATTTAAATGCTTTCTTAAAGTAGATTAAAGTAAGCACAATTTTCAAATCCATGGTGACAAAGCAGTAAGGAAAACTCAGCTAGGATAACTTCTTAAACCTAGCCATCCACCTTCAGTAGTAGCACCACCTGGGGAGGAATGAATTAGTGTTAGGAAAGGTGAGAATGTATACCAACCCACATTAGCTTCCCACTAAATATGCCTAAGAGAGTCAGGCAGGCCTCTTTTCCTCCTTATCTGCTCCTGTGATATAAGCACAACAACTGTTCTCTTCACCTATTATTTTCCAAATATAATACTTGGAAAATCTACAAGAACCCAGACAAATATTTCATTCTTGAGTGTACACCAGCATATTCTCTAAGCAGGGTCAACAGCAATTTACAGTGTTATCTAGAGCTGGCCATCAGCTTAAAAGAAATGAGCCTAACTTTGAAAAAATTCTATGGAGAACAGCCCACATTTAAACAATTTTAACTTATTCTTAATTTTAAAAAGAAAAGAATTTCTCTAACCATATAATGCTAACAGTTCCTCCAGCCTTGGCTGGCTCTAGTTTCTTATAAGTGACCAGAAACAGGGGGAGAGCTCAAAATAACTAGGTTTCAGAGATGAGAAGCTGATGGTGATGATAGAAGCAATAAGGAAATGGTCACAACTGCATATATGTGACACCGTGTTTATCTGACGAAGCAACGTTTAGAAATGTGAAAAAAAATCTTGCAAGCTTATGGTGTACCTTACATGAATTACCTTGGAAATTATGTCCGGTGGATAGAAAATTTATTACCTGAGAACCAAGGTGAAAAGCTAGGGGAGAAGACTCCATTTTCTTCTTACCCCACAAAGGCAATCAGGGGAAAACTGGGGCAATTAATTTTCCTTCTCAGTGATTCCTGGTCCTTAAGTGTAAAACAGGCAACAACAACAAAACTACCTGCAAGATTCACTTCACACGATACAATGCAAACAAACTTTGTACAAGAATAAAAATTTTAACCCCACAAAACTTGCATAATGGTTTATAACTGCCGGGTAGACAGAGTGCTTTATAATATAAAAACCATTTTGTAAAAATGATCTAATTATAACTTCAAAACAACCCTGTGAGTTGGGGAGAAGGCATCATCCCCATTTTGCAGATAAGGAAATGGGCTTAAAGAGGGGCGGAACCCTGTGCAAAGGCCAAGCTCGAGCGCCATGGGTCAGGACAGAGCCTGGGTTCCCCATGGCACCTCCTGAGCCCCTCCCATGACACACACTACACGCATCAAAATAGCTCTCTCTCATTATACTTCTAATTCTATCCCTGCGAATTTCTTGCATCAAGAAGGAAGGCTCTGTGCTTCGCAGGGCCCAGCACACAAGGCCTTTGTTCACAGCTAGGATGATTGGGGTTCGTTCTCCAGAAAGGGTGCCTGCCAGCTGCACCACCAGCTGTACCAATCTTCCAGCACAGTGCCCAGGCAGATAACTTCCAGTTTGGTTAAATGGGTGTTTCTTCAGGGAAAACATTAGGCACTATTTCCCACCCGTAGCAATGGAATTAAGAATGGCCACTGAAGACTGTTCTGATTCAAAGTCAACATAAGACTTACCCGTGGCTGCTCCCGCTGAAATCTGCTGCCAGATGATGTTGTGCTATTCAGATAATTAGACAGACACCCAGAAAAATTAAAATGTGAATATCTTCTGAACTAATAGTTATCAAATATCAAGTGTAACTTAAAAAAAAACACAGCCTAATAGCTCACACTGAGACTTTGTTCTATGATTATAACCTATATACTAATTTGCTGAGAAATATGCAGGCGGTATCCCAGTACACACAAAAGCACAAAATGTACCTCTCCGTTATCTGGGTGCAGACGTCAGATTTAAAAAGGCTTTAAGTACCCTCTGGTTCCTGTCACAGTACAGGCACAACAAAACCCTCACTACATCTCTGATCCAACAGGGGGCTAAGCTGCACAAACCTGCTCTCAAATGCATGCGGAACCACACAGATTAAAATAAAACAGGGCTCTCACTTTTGAAGGCTGTTGAATCTTAATCTCCTGGGAATCAGATGCGGAGTCTGACTTGGTGCCTCCGGAATTTGGTTTCTCCTTTTTTCTCTTCTGTTTCTTCTTCTTCTTTTTGGCGCCCAAGTCCCCTCTGGAACCTCTGTTAGGAAATTCACAGAGGGTAAAACAATAACAAATCATTATGTAAAATTAACCATTTAGAATAGTATATGTCATAATAGGGAAAAACTATGTTAGGATGTATGACATTGTGATTTATAAGAAATACACACACACACTTTAACAGCAGATAACTCACTTAATTTTCACTCCTTTTCAGTGTTAAAAAGCACTAACTTTATAATCCTTTGAAGTGCATATACATATTTTAAGGCATCCTGTATATATATTTGATTATATATATTTGGTTTTCATTGATGGTTCCTGGCCTACAGCTCCTAAAATCCTTGGAATTTCCTGGGTGATGAGCACTTAAAGCAGTGGTTCTCAACCTTGGCTGCACATTAGAATCACCTGGGAATCTTTTCAAAATCCTGATTTCTGGGCCTCATCCTCGGGAAATTCTGTTTCTTTGTTACTAATGTTGTGGCCCCACCCCATAACAAAGAAACAGAATTTCCGGAGGATGAGGCCCAGAAATCAGGATTTTAAAAAGATTCCCAGGTGATTCTACTGTGCACCCAAGGTTGAGAACCACTGGCTTAAAGATGTCTCTTATGTTAATGAGGTGACTTTTGGAAAGCACCTAAGTAAGGGCTGGTTGCCAAGAGAGTCAACCATGTGATTAGACGGTTGGAACTTTCAGTGCCAAACCCCAACCTCCGGGGATGAGAGAGGGGCAAGAGAATAGCCAATGATTTAATGGTCATGCCTATGTAATGAAACCTTCATAAAACCCTTAGGGACAGGGTTCAGAGAGCTTCCAGGTTGGTGGAGGTGCTTGGAGAATGGTGTGTCTGGAGCGAAAATGGAAGCTCCATACCTTTCCCCAGGCCTTACTCTATGCATCTCTACCATCTGGACGTTCCTGAGTTATATTTATAATAATAAAAGCGTACTATGCTAATTAGTCCAGATGTCCTTCTGGACGACCTTCCAGACGAAGCCGGAGCTGCGAGGGAAGCCCGAGTCCCGGGTGCTTGCTGGCGGCTGGAGGGAAGCCGGTGCCGACAGCTGGGGAAGGAAGGCCTACTCTTGCACGAGTTTCGTGCATCAGGCCTTTAGTTCTTTTATAATAAACCAGTGATCTTTTAAGTAAAATATTTCAAAGTTGTGAGAGCTGCTCTGGAAAATTTATTAAACTCAAGGAGGGGTCTTGGGAACCTCGGATTTATAGCTGGTCAAAAGTCCATGTAAAAACCTGGACACGTTACTTGTTCCTGAAAGTGGGGGCTTTGGGGGGGGGGGGGCGGCACTCTTTCAGGACTAAGCCCTTAACCTGTGGGATCTGAGGCTGCCTCTGAGTAGAGAGCGTCAGAATTGAGCTGAATTCTTGGATACACCGCTAGTGTCTGAGAATTGCTTGCTGGGTGGGAATCTCCCCCACTACACACATGTTGGGATTGGGTCCAGGAACCCAAAATAGGATGTAAGCAGGAAATGAAATTTAATCAGACAAGATGAGTAACTCAGAAGTCTACACTCAGTCATCCTGCAGAACGCTTAGATGTCATTCCAGCAGGAAAACTGCAGACATAAACCATACTTTGTAACAGAAGTCAAACAGTTTTCACAGTTATTACTGCTCCACTAATCTACTTCTTAGTCAGCTTTTTAAATTGATCTTTAAAAAATATTTTTTATTGATTTTGAGAGAGAGCAAGGGAGAGGGAGAGAGAAAAACATTGATGTGAGAAACATCAATCCCGGCTGCCTCCTGCACGTCCCCCACTGGAAGTTGAATCTGTAACCCGGGCATGTGCCCCAACTGGGAATTGAACCGGCAACCGTTTGGTGCACAAGACAACACCCAACCAACTGAGCGACACTGGCCAGGGCACTGCAGCTTTTTTTTTTTTTTTAATATATTTTATTGATTTTTTTATAGAGAGGAAGGGAGAGGGAAAGAAAGTTAGAAATATCGATGAGAGAGAAACATCGATCAGCTGCCTCCTACACACCTCCTACAGGGGATGTGCCCGCAACCAAGGTACATGCCCTTGACTGGAATCGAACCTGGGACCTTTCAGTCCGCAGGCCGACGCTCTATCCACTGAGCCAAACCGGTTAGGGCGGCACTGCAGCTTTTTAAAGGGAGAGATACATGTTGTCAAAATTCCATTATAAACATCTCTTGGGTACAACAAACCACTAATCTTGGCATACAGAACCAAAGAAACTGCTTCTCAGCAGAGGGGAAAATTTTTCCTGATAAAAATTTTTACTAAAAGGATTAACAATAAAAAACAACAACTCTACATGAAAACATTCACTGGTAAAACACTTTTATTTGGAACCTTTGTCATCTATGGCTGCTTCTGAAGAACAAAAGAAACACAAGGGATTTAAAATTTCTATTTATTTGGGCCTATCTTTACCTATTCTCAGACAGTAAATTAAAATTTAGAGTCAGAGATTATTATTGCACTTTTGCCTGATGTAGGAAAAAGTGATGGAAATAATTAGTTCCGTTCTGTTGTTCTCAATTAGCTCTATCGGTCCCCACCCATTTTCTTTCTTGAATTTTTACCTAATTTTAAAATACATATTCACCATAGAAAACACAATTGTCATTAATATATTAACATCCTTCTTATAACATTTGTTCCTAAAGACAACCAACTGTTTTTCTGATATGTATTCTTTCAAAATTGTCTTTCTTTTCTAAGCATGCCTTCGTTTTTACTTTGACTAAGTTTTAAACAAAAATTGAATCTTAAACATACCATTATGAAACTTCCTTTTTTCTCTCCTTTCACTTTACAATATGTCTGGACTTCTTTCCATGTCAGGATATACTGAGCTACATGATTTCTTTTTAGTTACTGGATAGCATTCCATTGTGTAAATATATCATATTTCATTCCTATATTAAAAATACTGCTGCCAAAAAATATTCTGATACTTACGTTTTTG